TTTTTCCCATTTCTCCCACTCCACAGGCTCGGATCGTGCACCTGACACTTTTTTGCCCAATCCGATCATCTGCTCTGTGGTACATTTGGTGTGGTTTAGATGAAAAAATCAACCATTCTCGTGCAACTCTTTCAATTGACTCAGCCACCTTTCACCATTTTTTGACATTTGTCAACATTTTCACTCTCACTCGCGTCTAGTGGTCGAGCATCTGCTGTTCCCTAACACCAAGAACCGGCGCAGCTCTGCTCTCGGCGGCGGCCGTTCCGAGGGCGAGTATCTCCGCGAGCTGGAGCGCATCAATCAGGAACTTCGTGGATTCATGCCCATTTTCCCCCCGGTCCAGACGGCCTTCAACGCTCTTTCCACGATGCATTCACCGCATGCATCTGCTCTCGACGAGGCCGGCCGCGACCAAGTGGCCGTGTCGCCGAGCGGACAATCCGCGCACTGCTGGACAAGCCTCCTCTATCCACCGCCCGACAACTCCATCCGCCCCGGGCCGGCTCTTCTTGGCCTCCTACCGCAAACGTGCGTCGCCTCCGTCTGCTCCGCTCCTCTCGGTACCGGCGTGGAGGCCAACTGTTCTGCCGATTCGCTCAAGCCCAACACCATCGAGCCGGGCGTTGGCAACACACCGTCCGACGCGACGGTCCTCGAATTGCCCCCATTCACGTTGGCCGCCTATTCCTTCGAAGAGCACGACTTCGAGAGAAAAGGTTCACTGAATCAGCTCTCCGACGATGGAGAATACTATTGAACTCTTCCTTGGTCTACGTGAATCCCACTGACCCCGGCCACAAATCATCCTCATCTCGATTATGCAGAACATTTGAAGATCTGCCACGAGGTCGTGTCGAGAGCACATTGAATTGGGCTACTGCGTCAATCCTGTCAACAGCAAACTATGAGCCGAATGTGTTCTGTATATGAAAATTCTTATTTGAAATATATATATATATATGCCTTGACTTATGCATATATTTATTTATTTATTTATTTTTATATATATGCATAAGAGGTGATCCCTAAAAGTGTGTATATAACGGCATCCAAACATATATTTGCTTCCATTCTATCTCAAATAATCAAGATTTTTTTCCTTGTGCTTTGCCATTACCATGTGATGTACCTTTTTGTTTCGCTTCGCTCTACCGTCATCTCATCCAACCCTTTCAGTATGACCTGAACCATTGAGCACCCTCTAGTATGCCCGAATAATCTCATTGCCATTTCAGTGCTATTTTTGTTCATCGTGTGATCATGCTTGCTCCTTGTGACATCTGCAATGGGATCACGGAATAAACCACATAGACTGCATGAAATAGACACATACAATTGACGATCTGTCTCCTGCTTTCTTTCCTCTTTATTCTTCATCAAGCCCACATTTACATCTTAATTTGTACTTTATTTTAGGTTCTATACCCTACACTCTTGTCAAATAGATGCTTACGAAATCCACAGCTTGCCCAGTCGAAATAAAATATTCCTTTTGCCTACATTGACTAAGTCACCTTCAGGTTCTTGTTGAGGATCCAGCCCATCCACTCTGGAATGCAAAGCCAGGCACGGTTCTCCAGACAGCAGCCGTGCATAGTCATCAGAGCTCACAGATCCTCCTGTACGGTCAGAGTTGGACTCAAAGCCCTTCACTAAATAAGTTGACGATTTGTCAGGAGAGTATCTGTTGTTAACTGCATGAGTTTGATTATCGTAATTAAGAGCACTAGGAAAATTCTTTCCTACAAGTTGTTCGGGCCTGCAACTGGCCGATTGTTTTTATGAAGAGCATCCAATGGTCGACCAGTGTCCTAGAGCATTTCCTCATAAAATGGAGCTCGGATAGTCTAAATATTCGACGTCGACTAGGCACAGGTTAAATCGTTTGGTGACCATTAAATTAATCTGCTCCTCACGGGCTTGAATGGAGTGAATATCACTTCCCGATTATGGCGCGATCATTTATGATAGGATATTGAGAGTACGCCTTATAACTCACCAGAAAATGCTTTCTTCCTGGAACTCGCTCCATCCATTTAGGGACACTAACCTGTCGACATCTATCAGTTTGACTCAGTACCATAGATCAAAGCCTGGAAGCCATGTAAATTGAGGTTGGCGACAATACTCAAGGTATGGCATGAAGAATAGAGC